TCATCCCTTGCCTTTTTTCCACCGCTACCCTGTCGATATATTCGACGACGATGTGTTTAGATAATGAAACTCTACTCTTCCAAAAAATTTCCCGCTCGAGTCTCCATTTCGATCCCCTTCCACGCAAGGCACACTGTCAATGTGGAAAACATCGAACTCCGTCAAGCTCCAACGCGACACACGGCTGCTGCGTTCTTTCGCGTGCCGCACGCGTTAAACACGCATTCAACTCACTGTTAAGTCTCGCTTGGATTAGTCGTGTGACGCGAATTCGAGCAGTCGAAGATTTGCAACAGCAAGGAGGCAATATTTAAATCGTATTTATTGGAATATTATAATATAAAGATATTAGATTTCATATTCAAAGGTGTAAAAGTTTATTACTACGAATATATTAGTTGATTATGAATTGATGAATGAATGTCAAAAAAAGTGATTGGATTTTGACCGAGTTTGAGTCGATTTTTCGTTGGTTTAACTTCCCAGCTGTAGTTTTCGAAGTTAAATATTCCTAGCGAAAATTATTGCTGTTTTTACCACAAAAATGATTGATTTATATTTAACGTATCGAAATTTAATAGTACTCTGACACTCTCACGTATAAGATCCCTCGTTATTTTGTATACGAATCGCGGGATTTGCATTAATTATGAGCATCGTGTTGTTTTTATACAAGTTTTTTTTACAATAGTAGTGCGTTTTGAATACTGATAATGGTTTTAAATGTTCGTAACATAATTTCAATTTAAAAGTGGATGTAACTAAATTTATTGCATTATTAAAAAGTGATAATCAATAAGAAAAATCAGATAAACATGATTCAAACATTTATCTCGAAGCAAAGATCTTCTTTGATATTATGAGTTATACGCCGTTGAATTATTTATTATTTTTCTTTTTACGTAATCACGCATAGATGTCGAGACATCAAATGCAAATGCTGACAAACTGAAACTAATTGAACGTCTCGAACATAAATAAACTGATTGATATTTGCATTCCTTTTCATATCATGAAATATAAACATTCTTTTATGATGTAGATTGTAGACTGAATAATGTTAAATTGATCAGGACCAATAAAATTGTGCTATTATATTTTATAGCTGCCATAAAATTCTAAGAACTTGAGCAAAATTTTTCTAGTGAATCTATCAATCCTTTTCTCGTTAAACGTGCCCCACAGCTAATCACCGTGTCTGGTATCCTACATCAAATTAGCCTACCCACTGAAACACGCTAAACTTTGAATAAACTTTAGACGAACATACTTTAGAAAAACATCCACAAAACAAACGTAAATACAAATTATCATATTAATGGTATATCTTTAAGTGGTAATGTATATTAAGCGCAAACGAGGAACTGTTTTGTCAGTAATTAATCGGTAATGTATTTTTCTTTACCTTCTATAATCATTTAACGAAATGCAAAATTTTCCATTCCTCCTTTACAAAACCCTATTACAAAATTTACTACAAAAGCGTATCAGCATACTACATTTTTCAACAGCCATTCCTCAAACAAGCTGCCCGCGTTCCACCGTCAGCGAAACCGTTCTCCAGTGGGCTTTCTCGGTAATTACATTTTCAGGTTTGCGTTGCGTCGTAGGGTCAGAAATCATGGTTCCACGAACAGAGGAAGATAGAAAGAAAAGCTTTGCCAAACGGCGAGCAAGCGGAGCCAGCGAAAGTTTCGCTCGATTGGTCGTGCGTCGGCTCGTTCTTCTCGTCTTGGTGGAACAGGGCGTCCGAAACTGCCCTGTCTCGACGCCGCTGCTGCCGGCTCCTCTATACGCGTCCTTCCCTCTGATCTCTTCCCTCGCGTTCCCCTCACGCGCGGACCATCCTGGCGTCCCCTAACCCAAACCATTATCTGTATACCACGATTATAAGGCAACGGGACCGACAAACAGGCTTGGGCCAGACCCCCTGGCACCCTGATCGCAACCTCGCCTCCCTCTTTCTTCTTCTTCTTCTTCTTCTTCGTCTTCTTCCTCTTCTTCTCTTTTCATCCGTCGTTTTCCTCTACCAGTCGCCGCGTGCTTCTACACCGTCACCGACTACGCAAACAAACCCGTACATCGACTAACATAACTTAACAATCTCCCCCCGCCCTCCTGGTTGCTTCTCTCTCGTCATACTTTCGCCCCTCTACCGACCGCCAATGCACTACTACCAGCGCACGGTCGCAGAGGTTGTTGCTACAACTGATTGCTCCTCGATGCACCATGGACTTACCACCCAGTATCGGGCGGCGTCGTTGCACGCTCGCCTTCAGGCTCCTCGTTTTCGTCTTTCGGAGAAAACGACGCATTACACAGGACGACGATACTTCTCGCAAATTATTATGGTCCTGGCTCTTGATAATTGTTTTTCCGACAGACTTTATGCCCCGGTACTGCTACACATAATGGTTCACGGCCCCGACATCGGACGTTTTATTTTTACGCTACTTTCGATCTTCGAGACGCGAGCCTACCTTTTTGACTACGCCGCCCGCCGCTGGCAAACCGAAGAATGCACCGAATTATATTTTATGCTTCTCTAGACGACTAGTCTTCACCCAGTGGTGGAAATTTTGCTTCGTTCTTCCGTATTTTTCAAATAATACATGAAACTTTGCCAAGGAGGTACTATGAACTAGGTGGAAGTAAGGATTATAACGCGTAGATTCTTTGTAGGACTGTGCTTCCATCTCTTGTAAAAATTTTAATTATGGTATTGCTATTTTGTTTCTTTTCTTGATCGTTATAGAATAATTTTTATATTTAATTTTAAATTGAAGCTACTGATAGATAGAAATACCTTTTAAAATTTTATAATTTCAATTTTTTCCTTTTTTGTAGCAAAATGGATGATTGTATGTTGTTTATATACTTAAACAGAAAATTAATTTAAAATCAATTGATTAATTTAAAAATTAAAATTCCGATATCTTGTTTCCTTTTCTATATATAACGAAATAAATAACATATATTTAAATTAATTTAAAAAATGGAAATACATATGTTTCCAAGAAAATATTTCTGTAAAACACAGAAATTAAAAAATGTTGCGAAATTTGTAACGTTTAAAATGCCTATTAGATATCGTGCAATATATCAACATTAATTGAAAACGTTACTTTATTGGCACATTGAATTTTCGAAAGAAATACATATATAATTTAGGTATGCGGATTAAATGCTCGTTTTGTCATTTTTTTCTGTCTAGTAGAATGTCGTAGACGCGTCTATGCAGTTTGCGCAGTTACGAGTCAAACCGGTTTAAAAACCAGTATCGCGAATCCTATTAATGTAAAGAATTTTACTTTTATTTCCATCTCTTCAAAAAATATCAAAATGCGCACACTGCCTTTTTTGCGATAATTTTAAATCGCATTACTTGCATAACACATAACTTAAACCATATCCACAACTTTACTGCATACTTTCAAACGTAAGATTATCATAAATATAATTTTAAATTCTTATCACAATATGCCTTCATCTTGTGGTATTTTACAACATAATCTTATCGTAATTGAACCATATTTTATAGAAAGAACACGTATTACATTCAAGTAAATACATGTTTTATAAAAAGATACTAGATCTCTTTAATTTGCGCTCGGTAATTTATATTCAAATTCTGACAATGGCCGAAGGTAGTTTAATTATCTTGTGAGAAATTCTCAGCAGGTGCAGCACAGGTGTACGCTTATTATGAACACCAACGTGATAGATCAGCCGGTAAAGAAATTCGGTGTTCCCAGAGAAAGAAAATTAGTATCGACGGAAACTTAACCTCTTCGTCGTGGCACGCCGACGATTCAGTCGCGTACGAAATGTTATGGAAATGTTGTTCCGAGGCCAAATAACGCTAACTCGAGTAAACTTTCGTCGAGTATTAATCTGTCTTACGTAACGAACAGCATTATAATATTAATAATAACGATAAGATTACTCCCATTTAGTCACTTTGCGACGCGAAACAGCGCGTAACGATGCCTCGGCTTGTGCTGGGAACGAGTGTAGACCACAAACAGACTAGACCGCTCGAACATTAGTGCCCTGAGCTTGAAACAGGCGCACGGACGTACAGTGAAGTGTATCTGTTTTTCAAACCTATCGGTTCCGTTGTATCTTTGCTACGCCATATCTGTTCCACGATTTCGTCGCATTGCGTGTCAGTCTACGATTGAAATATGGGCGCTGCTTCAAACGCGACATACTTAGGACTTGATCTCAGCACGCAGCAGGTAAACCCTTAAAAAACAGCATAATCTCGCGTACCGCTTTTTATCAGAAGTCGAACATCTGCTTCGAGCGAATAATCATCGACGACCGACGCGTTTTCTCGTCATATAAAACTGCTCATCGTTGACACGAGTCTTGTATATCACTTTTATACTTTCTTTCCTCTTATTTCTTATTTTTATTTCTGCCTTTCTTGCTCCCGCTTGTGTACATTTATACACCGCGTGTAAAATAATTACCATAGTTATACAGCAATGAGTCATAGTAGTTTATCATTTGTTCCTTCGAAGACTTATTTATTAGTTTGTGGTTTTATAATACTTGATGTTACTGAATTCTCAGTGCGCATCATCTACTGCGCACGCTCGTGACAACGCGCGTTTCATTTAAATCTAAGAAAATTATTTAATCTTATAAATGTCTTTTTATTAAAAGAGATAACTCTTCAACGAATTGTAACTATACGATATTTGTACTTCTTTCTAAAGATTACAAATGTAACGAAAAACAAACACTTGACAAGGATCGAATCAAATAAAACATATTTTTCATCTAGCAGTATTGATCATCTCTTGTTTCCTGTGACACTATGAAAACCATACTGTGAGTTCTAATGTTGACAAACTGAATTTTGATTCTGTAACGACTAATTTAAACATCTACTCTATTTTGATTCCTTAAATTTCAAATATTTGTATACCTTGTATTATCTCTACTGACAAATATTTGAAATCGTACTCTCAAATTTCTAGTTATACAACAAACTCGATCATTACAATTATGTAACCCTTTTCCTTGAAGAAATATAACGACATTGAAATTTATTTTTCAGGAATATCGTAAAGTTCTATCAATGAATTAATTTTCTATTAATAGGCTAAATATCGAATTACGATTAAATTAGGAATAATTTGACCCGTAAGAATAGTTATACTAATAAAACAAAAACTAATTTCTTATTAATAAAATAAATTACTCTGATTAAGTTAACGATACTTTAATGTCTAGTGGTAAATTTACCACGGTTAGCTTTTAGGTATAAACAAATATTACAGTCAATAATACACTAAAATGATAGGAAAATTCGAAGTTGTTGACGAGAAGCGTTTCGCTGCGTGTGACGCGCGTCAGATGGGTCACAATTATCTAACATAATGATAACATTAAGCAGTAGGACGATACGGGCGAAAGAAATGCGTATCTCGTTTGCAACGAAAAGCGCGAAATGCTAGAAGCGGTCGAAATGATAATTGAAATAGCAAAATGTTTCTTGCGCATCTTTGGCATCGAAACTCCATAAATCATAAACGAATGTATCGTAACATAACCAATTCGTATAAAACATTTATTTTTATCTATTCGTTAATTCAATTTGTCGTAATTATTGATCCTTTAAAATAGAAGAAATATGTGAATCATAAGCGATATACAAGAATAATCGATACCATCAGACGTGAATGTTATCTGCTTGTCAACTTTCGACAAATTAAATACCCGACAATCATCAATATCTATGGATTCTACATAATAATTTCTGTTGCATAAACCATCGCTCATGATATATACATTATCGATCATAAGTATCTACCTCTTAGAACATCTGTTCGTTTTATTTATTGAAACAAATATTATTTTATTTGATATTTTATCCTATTCCACGATTCATTTTAATAACGATACTTATTTGTCCATTTAATTTCACTCGAGACTTTACGCGTTTCACGATATTTGTACTTGTGATTAAACTTATGGGCGATGATACATCTGGACATCTTTTTATTTTATTAAGCACTATTAGTAGTATGTTTAAACGTTACACGTGTATATATTCATATGGTAGATACGAAAAATGGTAAAAAGTTTTGAATTTTAAATTTCGAATTACATTATGGAGTAGCATAACTAATTGACCATGCTATGTCACATGGTAGCCTTGTTGCACATAACTTATTCGATGATGTAGATAAAAAATCGAGGAACAGCGTAGTATTGCGAATTTAAGAGGCCGTTAACAAGTATCTTTTGACATTTGTAGTTGAAAGCAGTTGTCGTCGATAACAATCTCGCTGTTCTCCATGAAACCAGTGTACAGTTTGACAATGATCTACCAGAATTTAGGTAAATATGCTTAAATACCATGTTTTCTTATATTTTCATGTTACGTATTTTTACGTATTATCCACTTTTGACGTTTCCACGTACATTTTTTAAAACGTTTCTTAACACTCTAAAATCCACGAAGATCTCTCATGAGATGATTAATGCAAAATACGATATTAAAATCTTTTCGTTCAACCTAATGATACATAAGCAATGATGCGATTTCTAACATTATATTTTAAAGTACATAGAAGTTCATGTCTGAGCAATAGCATTGAGCAAATCGAGAATTATTTATTCATTATTTACACATTCTCACACTAGAAAGAAAGCATTGATAAAATACAATTCGTAACAAGCAACAAATTTCTCCCAAATGAATTTTTTATGACGAATACGACTCCGTTATTATTGTTCTGTTTTGATTTCTTATTGTCTTGATGATTTATACAGGAAAAAGCAAGATTACAACGGAGTATAAAATATTTTGTTAATTTCCAATCGTATCATGGTCGATTTCATTGCAACTATATTTTGAATCGCATTAGAATCAGTGCGCTGAACGATACACTATCTAGAAAAAAATGTCATGTTTATGAAAGGCACTAAGATATGCGAATTCGTAATAACGAAATAGAATATACAAAGCTAAAATACCGAATTCCTTTCTACACTCGATATATTTATACTCTCATCGATGATTAATATCTCGTAAAAAATGTCAAATTATTTTACGTTTAATTAGAATTTACGATTACAATTTAATTACGTTACATTTAATTATTAAATATTGGACAATTTTAGAACGTACGGAGGCGTCATTCAGAAAAGAGCTGAGCCACACGTAGTGGTGGTTCCCACTTTGATGTGGGTTAAGGCTCTGGACATGATTCTCGATAAGTTGCGCGTGTGTGGCGTCGATTTTAGCAAGGTGGCCGCTATTTCCGGATGCGCACAGGTAAAAGAATGCTGTAAACGTCAGAACGCTGGAATAGAAACGTCACGGTTCATAAATTATAATATCGATAGTAAATCTGTCTTTTCAATTACTCCCATGTCAATTAAGGTTCGTCACAAAATGCTATGTAACATTACCGAAGCTATAAATTTCAAGAAGTACCTCTATGCAATATTCATATTATTTCGAGTATCGTTTAAGAACTGAACATGGATTACAAATCCAAATGGATGGTGGATTACAAAAATATCTGTTGTCATCGATAATTTAAATGCAGAGACGTTCACTGATTTAACTATAAAAAAGAACAGTTGATTACCATAAAATAGATATATAATGACTCTTATCTATTCTTTTTTTCATCCTTTGACGCAAACAGATCGTTTAACTATAACTTCTTGAATTTCGATCTCGTTGACAGAGTCAAGCATTATTCGAATAGTATTCGAAAAGTATTTGGAAAATTATTATTTTACTGATTCTGGCATATTATTTAGCTTGAACGTATTTTGAGAAGTAATAATCAATCCGCAAATAAATATTATGTCAACCGCGCCGGAAGTAGAGACTTCCACAGACACGCATATGCATGTACTTCATATTCAAGAATAATTGAAACGAGGACAGTTCGTATTTCGTAACATAATTTACGACTCAAATATATACGAAATGTAGTATTTAAAAGGTTTATATAGCTGAAAACGATTGGTCGAATTTTTACATAAAATGAAGTTACTTTTTAAAGTAAGAACAATAAATCAGTCGAAATTGCGTATTGTTTCAAGCTAACTTGTTTGGAATCAGATATTAAATCTAAGTGATATTAAATCTAAATTTTCATTTGTTTGTGTGATGAACGAAAATAAATGTTGAAGTTTTAACGCCAGAGAATCGCAGTGAGAAACGTTCCAGCCAACGTGTAAGTATCGATGTAAATTTCGCAATAAACGACCCTTATAAACACGAACATTTTACAGCTTTAGAAACACCCAGACGATAATGTTATCTTTGTTCGTTATTACATAGCAACATGGCACAGTTTACTGGGGCAAGGGCAGTCAAAATCAATTGCAACAATTGGATCCTGCGAAATTTTTGCACGAACAGCTGGTCACCTCTTTCTCGGTGACAACATCACCTGTGTGGATGGATTCCAGCACCACCAAAGAGTGTAACATGTTAAATGAGATCGTCGATGGCCCAGAAGTATGCGTTTCCTTTCTCTTCTAAACTTCTCTTCGCTAATTTCCTTCCATTATATTTAAATCAGGCCTGGACATTATCTAAATAATCGACGATATTGAAATATTTAAATAAGATATTTGGAAAGTGATCCTCTAAGTAAGATATAATTTTATTTTGCTAAATAGTTATTTGAAACTGATCTAAATAATAATAAATCTAATTTATCGACAAAGCAAAGAATACCTGAGATAATTCATTATTTCAAATTATTATTTTTCATCTTTATCTGAAATAAAATTTGCCCAAGCTTGATTTAAACAGTCTGTACGAAACGTTCGTATAGATTTTACAACGCGTCAGCTATTCGTTGCAGGTAAACACGAATTTACAACGATGCGGATATATTGCTTCTTTCAGTTTAACCCTGCTACGTTCTACCGGCCAAATTTTCGAGCAAAATTATATTTTCCTAACGTTAGGAAATACGTGTCTTCAGTATGAACGAAATGCCAAGTAAATTTTACCGATACGCATGATTTCCCGCTTCAATACTATGCGTTCTCAGAACGTTAAAAATTCTTTTTGTTCGCTGAAATGAGAGCAAGATCGAAATATGAAAATTCGCGGATCGTAGCTGGATTAAATTTAACGGAGCGTTCTTGTCTCAGTCGTGGCGAAAGGAAGAGAATTCAATGATAGAGACACATTCGTCTGTCATAACGTTGAGAATATAACGAAAATATGAATCTTTTGATCGAATCGTACTAGGTGTCCAAACATACTTATGGACAGTAACGCGTGTAATATCACTATCGACGCGCGATGTCACGTCGACGACATGCTGTTTCGAACACCTATCGCCGATCAATTTCGTTTGCAACGATAGCCGACGAAAATCAATAAAATATTTAATTAATCGTCGCGAAGGTCGACGACGGGCGACGTCGACTTTTTAATGGATTTAAAAATATCCAGCGGAGGAATGGAACGGTACCAAAGCCTCTCTTCTCTCTTCTATCTTCTCGTTCTTGCGACTTCGTCAACGAACATCGAGCAACGTCGGCGAAGAAAAAAAAATTTATCGCGAACAGATACGATCGGGAATCAATATAAAATCGTATTGGCGGGGCTTACGAAGTATGCAAATTGTAAATTAATTCTTTGACACGGATGAATATTCATTGCCATGGCGATCGGGGATTTTTGAAGAATGGCACGCGTTTAGAAAAGTTTTCGATCGAAAATACGAGGCATGTTAACTCGTAATAAATAAGACGTATCGTTCCTACGATTTCAACGCGAGACGATGCAAATAGAAAGAGAATAGAAATGTTTTAATACAGCATATAGAAAGTAAGTAATCGAATAACGCGATTGCAACACCGTGACAATGTCCGAATATCAATAAGAATTACTAAATTGATAAAAATTTCTATAACAGTTCCAATAAATTATGTACATGTCATACGTGTAAATCATGTACAACACGAACAGAGCGTCGAGCGATGACGATGACGAGAATTGGACTGATTCATAGTTAATCGACGCACGCCGATTAATACCCTAATCAATTATCCTTATACGATCTGTCGTGGTTGCATGATTGCAGAAATTGGCGGAGATAACGGGATCACGGGCGTACGAAAGGTTCTCAGGGCCTCAAATAGCAAAAATAGCACGCACCAGACCGGAAGCCTACAGCAACACTGAGGTATAATCCACTAAAAAAAAATCTACACTGCCGACTTCGTTGACAAATTTTCGGGACTACGATCGATCGAGGTATTCGATTACGTGTGAACTGGTACAAGGATTTAGACTGCAATTAACTACGTTTCTGATTTCTCGTGTGAGCTGCCGGTGACCCCTGGCTTTACGCGTGAATATTAACGTGCCCGATAACGATGATTACTGTTTGAACTGTTTCTTTTTAATAGATATATCGTCTAGCGCGATGTCATTTCTATTTAGGTCGTTCTTATTGCGATTATAGAAAAATTGCTGCCGGAGAATGTACGCGAATATAATTCTCGATATGAATCTCGAGATTGGTGTTAATACGTAACGTAGTTTCCGATGGATTTTCGATGGACAGTCAGAATATTTCTATTATTCGTCAGAATGTTTTTATTGAGCGTTGAAAAGCTTTATGGCAATTTATTTCGACTTGTATGAGCGTGTTTGGTCGTATAGAAATACATGGATATTACGTTAACAGAAAAACAAGAATCAGTTTACTTGATTATTGAAAGATACGCACAATAATATCGGTCGAGATGGATCTCTGTTTAGGTTCTATCTCATAAAAACTTGAATTTCCATAAATATCCGAAATGTAATAACAACGTGTCCGAAAATAGATTACTCGTAACGTGCTCTACTTTTATAATCGCAATAGCAATGATTTTCACATAGATTTTTAATTACTTTGATCAATAGCTGATAATAACTAAAAACCAAAATAACCAAAATATTTTCAAAGAGTGCTACTTTTAACAAACTGAGAGTTCCTATTTACAAAGATTTTATTTAATGTTCGTAGCATTATTATAACGAGTATGCAATAATATACAATGTCCTAAGTCCTATGGTTTAACAGCAAAAATAAGTACATTCTATGGGTATAATCGAACGAGAAATATTATATATAGAAACATAGATCGCTCAAAGTCTCGTTAAAATGTTATAATAAAATAACAAACGATAGGACAACAAAAAATTACTATACACAACATTCTTTTGCCTGATTATACCCACAGAATAGACTGACAAGATTTAGCTGTTAAAACCTGAAACATTATCGTATATTCGTCACTAATACGCATTATACATATATTATAAAGTGTTTGAATAAGATTTTATAGTCGTTTTTTACGTTAACTCGTTTTTGATACTTCTTCCAGAGAATCTCTTTGATTAGCAGTTTCCTGGCTTCCTTGTTTTTCGGCGATTTCGCGCCGATCGATTGGTCCGATGGCTCTGGAATGAACTTGTTAAATATTCATACGAAAGATTGGGATGACGTCCTATTAGAGGTATGTGGATTATCAATGATTATTAGATTTTCTCTGAATACGGTAAGCTATTATACAATAAAACGTTCGCATTTTTCCCCAGTAATAGAAATAAACATTCTTTTCAATTTTATCTATATGTTTCGTTTCAATCGATCTTTTAAGTCGTAAATTCGTATATCAAAGAACTCAAAAATTCAAAAATAGAAAATTCTTTGTTCCTTAAAATGGAATCATATATGTCTATATGTGTGTATGTGTCGAAATGTTTATGTCAAAATCTAAATCTTTTAAGATCCTCTACATTTGTTGTGAAAATAACTTATAACGCAAACAGCATACTACGTACGTACATTGCTTTTCCAATATTTATCATCGGACCGGTGTTTGTTCAGGCTTGCGGTCTTGGTCTACGAGAAAAACTCGGGAAACCAGTTTCCTCGTGCAGCGATATCGGTCCAATTTCGTCCTATTTCGTCGAAAGATTTGGCTTCGACGAGGCATGTCGTGTAATTGCGTTCACGGGCGACAACTCAGGTTCTCTAATAGGTAAGCACGCTATTCGCTGATCTCACGGTTTCGGTACGAATAATTTTTCGTTCGGCCAACGATATTAATTTATACGAGCTACTTCGCCTTTTGACAACAAGTTTCGATTCTATGAGCAACGAACGCCTTCATGAATATTCACGCAAATACATTTCCAATCGACATGCGTAGATACCCATAGACTTTCGCTCCCCATACGGAATGATTAATGAGATTTTTCGCCTGAACTATAATTTGCGGTTTACTATTAAGGAAACTGCTAAATGAATTCCGTATTGCTCGATATTTAATTAATCTATCGATAATATTTTCCTCGTGTGAAGTTTTTTTATTCGTTTTTCCGGTTGGTAACGTTGATATTCTTTCTTAAAAATTCGACAACTACGCTCTAACGTGCTACCGTAAAAGCAACGTCGTCTAAAATCGATCGCCCGTTAAAACGACACTTTTGAGAAACTACGTTTTACATCGGAATACATAGGAGTACGTACATGCAAATTTCCTTAGACTGGTTTCTTTTACGTTCGCACGTAGTACAGCGAAATGCTTGGACAAATTGCAACAAGTTTAATGAAGTGTAAAATATGCTGTAATTCAATTTGGACGAGAATATGTTTAAATACATATACTCCAAAGTTTGCGTGTAAAATTTATTTCTCGAGTTAGAGAAATGCAGGTAGGATTTATTGTGCTAATAAATAAGTTTGATTATTAATAATTTTGATAACACAAACAATTGATAAATGACGTTTATTTATTATTATACAGGAATGAGACTGAAAGAAGGAGATATCGCTTGCAGCTTGGGGACTAGTGATACTCTGTTCTTATGGTTGAACAAACCGAAAACTGCTTTAGAAGGACACATATTTTGCAATCCTCTTGATGATAACGCTTACATGGCTTTACTTTGGTAACTCACCGTTTTATTTCCCTAGGATACAATTTTTCCTTTATCGGTACTTTATTAGTAGTTATTTATAATTATTTACAAAAATACTTCAAAATCTTTAATCTTAGAAAGTGCAGGTAAAATTAATATATTCTCTCTAATGCAGATATTTATATATTTCCAAACATTAAAATATCTTACCATTTGTGGTTACAAAGGCATGAATTTTCATAATAAATTCTTCCAGTTAAATACGGATATCACGTACCTAAGCGTTGTTTTTTGTATTTATCTAAATTTTAGAGGAAGGTAATACTTACTTTTTGACAGTATAAAGCAAAATATAATTTCTATACTAATTATATCTTCCATGCTACATCAAATTATAAATTGTTAGTAAAATATGGAGAGACATGTTACGAACTATCCAAAATATTAATAGAAGAGAAATTATTTAGAGAAAAAAGTAGGAAACATAATAAATGAATTGCGATCCCGCAAAAAATAATACAATGATCCTGTAAAATATCTAAATAATACAGATCGATGATTACCCGGTCTACATTTCTTTTAGATATATCTATATAGAATCCGTTTCATTAAAACGAGTCTTAATTCTTCAAAATAATATTACTTATAAGAGATTAAACGTATGAATGATCGAGACACTAGAATCTCAAATTTCTAGCTTCAAAAATGGATCTTTGACTCGCGAAAGAATACGCGACAGTGCGGCGCAGGGCTCTTGGCAAATCTTCAACGAGCTACTGGAAAGTACGCCGCGGGGAAATTTTGGAAATTTAGGTTTATACTTCGATGCACAAGAGATTTTGCCATTTGTCATTGGTGATCATCGATTCAATAAAGCGAACGAAGAGATATCGCGTTACAGTTCAAAGGAGGTGGAAGTAAGAGCCTTGATCGAAGGGCAATTCGTTGCAAAAAGAGCTCACGCTGAAGATTTCGGTTTCGTCATAGGTAAGTTACAAGTTACAAAAATATTTTTGCAATTTTCTTATACTCTCCTTGATAACCGAGAATATTTTAAACTTTTAGAGATATAAGGCGGTGCGTGCCTTCTGTGATAAGTTAAATGAGTTAAATCTTCGGTATATATTTTGCTCTAATTATCAGATTTTAAAGAAACTGTCCTATCAATATTTATATATCGAAGAATTCAATTTTGTTATAATATGTCTTCTTTAGTAATTATTTTATTTTTGATATTTATATGTAATACGTTGTAATATCATTTTACAGAAGAACATGATTTTCAACAGATTTACAATTTTTCAAAGAAATATAAACTTTCAATTGCAAAAATCATTTTTATCTTTTTTGGTTTTTATCTATAGGGCCAAATACACGTATTATCGCGACAGGAGGTGCATCCACAAATAAATCTATACTTCAAGTTCTTTCCGATGTTTTTAATTCACCAGTATACGTATCGGTAATCATTGCTACCCTTCTAATTTGTTAAATAGAAATATCGTCTATGTTAAGATCTTATTTTTATATATACCTTTTCTGTTATAAATCTATAAATATTTATTTTTTTGGATCTCGTATAATATTCTTTAATCCTAGAAATTATAATGACATTTTCAATATCCTTAAATCTTATTTGACAGGAAGTAGCTAATTCGGCTATGATGGGTGCAGCCTATCAAGCAAAACATGGTTTATTGCGAAATGAATCCAACTTTGATGAGATAACACGCTGCTTACCAGAACCGACACTTGTATGCCGTCCTTATAATGATGCAGAAACAGTAAGTAATATGTACAACTATTAAAGTTTACATTTTGCTAAATATTATGTATTTAAGAAACAACTTTTTTATATTTTTAGATATACAAATCAATGGTTGCACGTTACCGAAAGATCGTAGAGAAAATTAAAAATAAGACAAGTACAAAACAAACTATATAAAGGCTATACGTGAATAACACAAGAGCATTTAAAAAAAGAGGCCTTCATTAATGCATCATATTAGCTGAAAATTTAAAATAATTGCTGCATTTAGAGCAGTTTAATATTGATGATATTTATAGTTTTATTCTGAAAAACTTTTATACGATGCTTTTTCTGCAATTTTTAGAGGCTTGCTCTTAAAATTCGAGTAATGAAACTACTTCGATTTTAATAAATGAATCAAAGGTACTAGAAACATCTTGAATCTCCTATGCAAACAGCAATGCTTTTTTAAGAAATTACTAAGAACCATTAAAATGGAAGTAAAAATACAAAAAAACATACAAATATTATTTCGAATATTTTGCAAGTGCTGTTTCAATGATATATTAAATAATCTAGCTAATTACAAATCGCTAATACCTTAATGATAAAAGTACAAGATAACCTAAGTGCAATTCCTAAAATGAAAGAACTAAACTTATGTATAAAATAATTTTGTATTTGTATATTTATAAATTTTATTAATTATGTATTATTAATTTATTAAATGCTAACTTATTATAAAATTAAGATAAAAGTTATAATAAAAAAAATTTAACTTAATAGGTGTTTTATTTGTTTAAAGTGATAGTATTTCTTAATCTATAGAAATCTATCTTTAAGTTTTTAATATGAAATAAATTGATTATTACACAATAATATGAAAGTTTCAAGGTATAGTTATATATATTTCCCTTTTTATTTTTTCCTGCCACCTCTTTCCTTTGGTAAAAGGTTAATTACATTACCAGATGTCAAATTGTAATATGCAAGAGTATTACTATCTTTGAAAAACATTCCCTGAAAAAAAAATAATCATTATATATGAAACTAAAAATATTTTTTATAAATATAGATAATCTTATATAGCTTAAATCGTTCATATAATACCTCGTACTGTAACTTCTGCTTGCCAGGTGGCATGCCAGTTTGCTCGTGAATAAGAGCTTTCATTGTCGCCACGGTATCACTTAATTGCAAAGTAATATTCAATGTTTGACCATTTAACTTCCATTCTGCTTTTTCTGTCATCATTGGTACAGCAATATTTAGTTGTACAGGCCCCTGAAAAAATAAAATGTATGTTTTAATGCATATAATAATCCTTGAATGTATAGAAACCATAATTGTTGATAAAATACCTTATTTCTAGCTAAGAATTGTTGTTCTGGTATCAATGAATCTTCCGTTCTAAGTTTCTTAGTTTGAGGTTCCTCCTCCATAGGTTCAGCAGTATGTTTTAATCCAATCTGGAAACAATAGTAAGATAAACATACGTACATAAAATATTTTTACTTTGAGGTAGTAGATAGTGCTACCTTTGAACTACTTAAACGTTATTTTACTTCACAAATACTTACAGCAGATGCCATTGGTGGCTGCATCGGCGGTGGTGTCGGCATAAATGGCGACATTGCTGGCGCTAGAAATAGACAAAATAAAAATATTTAATTTATAATCAATCTATAATATTATTATTTTGTATAAAAATTATTCACTCATAAGCGGTGGTGGTCGAATCGGAGGCATAGGGGCCATCATCATCATCGGTGCTTGCGGCATCATTGGCTGAGGAATACCCATAGTAGGCATGCTCATAGTAGGAGGTGGTGGTGGTTGCGTTGGTACCGGTACTGGCTTCGGAGCTGGTGGTTTAGGTGGTGCCTTTAATGTAGCTTGAGGTTTCGAAGCAGCTGCTGCCATATGTGACAGTTCAGCTGCACGATTAGCAGGTTTCGGACCAATCTTTTCTTTCTCTTCGTCCGGAAGAAGTCCTTTAACTTTATGAATCTGATGAATTTGTTCTTCCAAAGTAATATTCGCTCTAGCAGCCCTCGTCGCTGCTTCAACACTTGATGTGTGTCCATCCCACGTGACTTTGTCATCTTTCTTTTTATCTTCTTCTCCAATCTTTTTACCGATTGCAGTTTCTTCATCACCGACACCGAAAATATCGGTTCGTCTCTCAGCAAGTTGTTTCAAGCTGGCTTCAATAGCTGTACCAGGTGCAAATACTGTCTCCTGAGCCAACTTGTCAAGATGCTTGTCTCTTTGTTCAACCCAACGCGGATCCAATAATCCAATTCGCATGTGCTCCTGGACTTTACTTGCGGGTATACGTTCTCCAGTGATTGGAGATATCAAGTATTCATCAGGAGCAGCAGGACGTGCAGTTTTAATTGCTGTAAAAATAGGCATACTTTAATTTTGTACTTATATATATAACATTTTTTCACTTACAATGTTGTTTAGGATCATATCCTTTCTTTACTACAACATTTCCTGGAGTTGGTGGCAAAGGCGGAGGTTGCATATTATTACTATCGCGTGGTTTTGGTTCTTTCGATTTATGAGTATCACCCGGAGGTGATACATCATCTTCATCACTCGAATCCTCTTCCATATCTTGTACCTTAAAATACACATATGTTATTAATATGAAAGTGTTAGTTACTTCTTTTATATTATTAAATGAATAAAATATTTACTTGATTGTTGTCTTTCGCGCGATCTTTTTCTCCTTCTGTACGATTTTGCATTTCATCCTCTCCTTCACTATCAATTTGCATTTCTACATCTTCACCTTCCTCTATTCTTTCCTAGAAATTAAAAAAATTATTAGAAAAACAGAAATGCTTGTAATTTTATTAAGATATTTCACTGTGACATAGAATTAATAGAATTATGTTACCTGCATAAGTACTCGAGCACCAACTTCATCTGGCGTTGTTGGTGCTGGGAAATTACCAACTTCAAATTGTTGGTAATCAACAGTTTCGACTACAACAAAATCATGCCAATCAATTTGTGCATATGCAACCCTTTCACGTTCCAATTCCTCCTCTTCTTTGCGTCTTTGAGCTTCTTGATACTTTAACCACTCAGCACGATATTTAACTTGCTCTAAAATTTTATCCATATTAAAGGCTTCATCACGTAGTCGTGGTAATAAATCTTTAGGTGGAATTAATACCTGTAAATTTAAATTAACTTAAATTCAAGAATAGATCTAATTATAGATTTCAATTAGAAAAAAAATGAAATTTTGTACTACCTTAGTATATTGCTCCAAGAGTTTTGTAAAATACTGAAACAAAGAATGTTGTGGACGTAGAAAATCAAACTGGAAGTTTCTTTGTTCTCTATTCATCAAATTAGTCAAAAATTGACGACCATTACGGGCTACAAATTGTGCTGTTAATTTTACAATATCCCTAAAATAAAATCACATATATTTTGTAACATATACTATTGTATAATTACATGAAAGATGAAGAATTTAATTGAGTCACATACAGATCTAAAGCTGAAATAGAAGGTGGATCAGCAATAAATTCAAATTCTGCAGGAGTATCTCGTGGAATAAATGGTTGTTCAACTTGTTTCAAAATTTCTTGCTGCTTTTGATGAGCAGCAAGATTAACTGTTTTTCCAGGCCCTGTCCCTATAGTAGGTTCTTGACCTTTTCCTTCCTTAAATTCCTTTACTTTATGCTGATAATACGCATGGTAAGGATCACCAAAATTTAAGAAATTAAACTTTGGATTTCCCAATTCGTTTTGTCTGATTCTTGATTCAAATTCTGGTCCATTTCTGGCCACGAAACTAGCGGTTTTATCAACAATATCTGAAATTTTACATAAGGAAGATTATATGTACATCAACGAATAGGCAAAAAATAATTGTTGTAAAATGTAAAATCATATATAAATATAGCAAATTATTATTATACTTAATATAATATATTTGAAATTTTAGAAACATTCACAAATAACTAAAAGATAGCAAATTAATACAATCAAGATAAACTAAATTTTATTTTTCTTTTACAATGAAAGTACATAACATTAAAGTATAGAGAGACTTATGTATAGCAAAATTAAAGATAAGTAATGTAATAATTTACTAATAACATACAATACATGAATTAATATATTACAACCAACATTTTTTATTATTACTTCAATATGCAATAAATGTACAAACAAATGTTAACGTGATCATTCTAAAACATTGTTAAGAAGTCAATTAAAAATGAATGTTGCATTGTATTGTCTTATTAAAAAATATTGTAAAATCATACTTCTAACTTCCGGTGGAGGGTAAATAATACCCACGATCGGTTGAGATGAAGGTGCCGTATTTTCTTCATTCTCGGTTGCTGGTGGTTGTATAACAGCAACTTCCTGTGCAGGCATGCTGCTTAATATATTTTTGTTCACTTAATTTTAGAAAATTTAATGCTTCGTGTCATTTATTATGTACACACTCCTAGAACGTAACACAGTGCTGCCAACGTAAATGCATTGCACTTTATTGAATAAATTAAAGCTGCATTTCCATTAATACAGGAAAATAGCTACTGCATGCAACAATCAGACAAAAAAATTAGAAAATGATTTTGTATGTAAATTTTGTTAATACGATTTAAATGTAAATACATATAATAGTGACATGTTTAAATAATTAATTTTCCTTTAATTGCATGAAGCAAATTAAAAATTCAATTTATTATTTCTGTCGGTGTATTTTCATTAAAATTATATATATCTAAACAAACAAGATAGTATACAAAAAAATAAATAACAATTTTCTTATTTATAAATATCAATTATATAATGTTTATCTAAAGAACATAGAATGATACTAACAATATTACATAAAAATTAATTTTGTTTCTATTAACCTTAAAGATTAAGGTCTTGTATGTACTTTTGCACAGTTTCATATAGATTAGTAGCACCATTACAAGTATGTGTTGGTATATTAGAGATGAATTCCATACTGATCATAACACCCTTGTTCCAAGATGATTTCATGAAGCTTGTAATACATGATACACTTGGTAGTTGAGCCCACTAAAAAAAAATTGTTAGTATTGATTTATTTAAACAACCAACATTTTATGAATATAAAAATTATCTTAAATATAACATTAATTCTTTGCACATTCATATATCTTTAACATCAAGTAGGGATATCAAAAAGTAAGATATCTAAACACCTATTGCATAGAAGATTATACCATTTGATACCAAAGAATTAAACAAACAATAAATTAGAATTTATTGTTCATTCTTTTAGTATTTTACCTCCTTAGTAATCTCTTCAGGTACATTTTCTTTCACATACGGAGCAACATTTACATACAGTTTTTCATACAATTTAGCAGTTTCTTCGGATTTTGACCACAATCCTTCCGCATAAGTATAATATACGACACCACCAACGATAGTGGATTTTATGGCAAACCTAAAGATATAACCTCAAACTTAAAATTCAAATTCCTTTAATACATATATTTATATTCAAATACCGTAATAGAACCACATCCTTAGTTCTTACAGCACGTACTAACCGGGTTAGATTCATTGTATAATGTAGATTATTTTAACAGGATAATCCTGTTACACTTTCGTTTGTTACAGTTAGAGAAACATGAAAATTACGTAAAGCTCCTCACAATTTCCGGTTGAATCCAAAGTTCATATATGTATATAGAGTACGTCCATACTTATATATGTATACACTATCATATCTTGTTTCGTACTTTTATATATGCATATATATGTCAAATAATTAACATTCTAAATATTTCTTAATCGTATAAAATATTTCATGTGTGAAAATCACAGTTATTAAAATTATAAAATTAATATTATGGTTTACATAGTTTTCTATATGTTTGTGACGTATACAAAAATTCAAAACATGAAAATTTTATGATAAAGTTGTTCCTGACTGTTCGGTTCTTTATATCTTTCTTAATCATATTTATATTTTTGACAGACAATGTGCAGCAGTATGTTTGTCTATCTGTTGCTTCAAAATAATCAGTAACTGCTGTTTATTGTAGCTACAATTATTATCGTATAGGTTAAACTTAAAATTATTTTGTGTTTTGTATACAAACTTATATGATGTGGCCTCAAGAATATATAGGATTAAAGGTTTATTGATTGTGTTTATAAAATTTATTTTTTTGTAATATCAATAAAAGTAGCATTGAGTAATTTTTCTTGCAGCATATAGAAAATTTACTGGTTTGTGGAATATGCTATGAATTCATGGATACATCTGTTATGACATCATGCTCTCATAACTGTAAGATAAAAACTATTTACTTTTAATATATTAACAGGATTTTTATTATTCATTATTATCATCATTATTATTATTCTCTTAAATTTTAGATTGCTCTTTATGTATCAGAAAGTATTTACATTACAAAACGCAATGTCCTGCGTGCTTTGCAGAAACTTTTGAAAAGGATTTAAGGAAAAATAAAGTTCTAGATGAGATTATAGCACACTTTTTACAAATTAAAGATAAATTAAAAAGATCTTTACAAATTCAGATTCAATTCACAAAATTTAATGAAGCTGACGATGTTTCTAATTCACCAAAATCATTGCTTCAAAATAAGAGTGCATATATAAATGGACAAGAAAATAAAGTTGTATATAGTAAAATTATTAATAATATTCCTACTTCTCAAAGTAGTACTTCACCATCTATACATATACAAAAAGATTTATCTAGTCCTAGTACAAGTGGAATACCTAGAATACCTTTAATGTTTACACCTAAAAGTAATAAACGTCCAATTATAACAAATACAGAAGAAACTAAGGTTGTTATATGTCCAGTATGTAAGGTTACCATTTCAGAATTAAAAATAAACAGACATCTTGATGATTGTTTAAAAAGGGAATCTGTGAAAGAGAAACCTCAAATGTAAGAAAATGCTAAGGTTTAGTATACAAATATTTAATTAGAAAAATGTAATGACTTTTTATTTTTATAGAATAGAATCGAAACGTAAACCACTGCCAAAGTTAGTATTTAGTTTAATGAAAGATGCTGTATTAAAAAAGAAAGCAAAGGAATTTGGTTTGTCTTCACAAGGAGATCGGAAAGCTTTGGAAACGCGACTACAAAGATATATTGTTCTTTATAATGCAGAATGTGATAAACTAAATCCACGATCAGTCACAGAATTAGTAAAACAATGTGAAGATGAAGAGAACCTAGAAAAAAAAGTTAACAAAACATTTTTTTTAAATGTAAATATTTTATATTAGCTTATTGCGTTTGTCTAAAAACTACACCTTTTTGCTTTTTAATTAAACTTATCCAATTATTTACTATTTCAGAAATTACAAGTTACTAAAAACACAGAAGAGAATGCTATAGAAGATGAACGAAGAAAATATTGTAAGTTTTTTAAATTCTTAAGCTTTTCTATATAATATTTATAATATTTGATGATTATTTTATTTTCATCAGTGGAAACGCACAAAAATAGCTTTGACAGTCTAATTAATAAGATCAAAAGTATACAATCTTCACAAAAGCCATCAGCACGGCGTAGTCTGTTAATGACAAGTACAGAGGATGTTTCACCTAAACGTCAAATGATGAGTGAAAATTTGGATGATTCAATGATTCATACAGAACAAATTGATCTTAAGCTGTCAAATTCTGCTGTATATATTCCGGATTCTGATTCAGATACTTCTTGTCCATTACAAATGTATTCGAGTATTGATCCAAACAAATTTCTTAATATAGAATTATCTTCTAATAATAATGTTTCGAGTAATAAATCTGAGAATGATCAAACAAATGATGATCAAGAAGCATCTATATTTAATTATTCATCTATGAAAATAAATGAGGCAGAGAAAAGTTACAGTTCAGATGCATTTAGTGATACATCCATTCATGATAAAGCAATACAATCAGAAATGAAAAATTCATCTTATAAGAATACATTAGAAAGTAATTTGAAAAATTCACCTAATACTTCCAAATATAAGAAATTGCCACAAAGAAGAAAGACATCATTTTTAAAAAATGAAGTGGAACAGACAGAGTCTGTTACTACAAGTATGAAACGTCTTGATTCTGATAGCATTTCAGATCAAAAGGAAGAAGGAGATGAGAGATCAAAATCTATCTTGCAAGATATTGCATGTGATTTATCAAGTAATGATAGTATTGACAGTAAATTTAATCATGGTATGTAATGTGCATTTAGTAAAAGTTTAATTGGTTATTTATTAAGTGGTTTCATAATGCTGTATAAAAATTAACACGTCCACAGTCTGTCGTAGTGTCACGTATATACGGCCTATTCACATGTCCCCTAATATAATCACAGATAATCGATCCAAAAATTATATATTTTTTGCTTATAGAATAACAACACCAACAAGCTGTTATAACAGTAACAAGTTCCTGCATAAAAGAAATAATCGAATTGCATATAAGTTGAATTTAAAAATAATTAAAAGATAATCAAAACATATTTCCGATTATATTTGCTGCAATATTTTTTCTGGAAGATGTGCATATCGCTTGCTTGCATATATGAAGAAATATGTATGTTTTCACCTCGGATTGTGAACGTGTTAAACATATCTTTGTGAAAAAAGAACCCTTTCATGATAGAATATTAATCAAAATTTTTAAATATAAAAAGATTACTAAAAGCATTGAAACACAAAAGTCAGCATTGATTTAATATTGGAATATAACAGAAACATATTGAAAATGGATTGAGATATTAACAAATTTTCTAAACAATCTTACAGGAAAATTACGTTCTACTAGCCTTGGATTTATAGATAGTAAAGTAACGAGTCCCTCAAATTTGGAGAAAGAAAATATAAGTTCTCCTCCTGAATGCAGTAAAAATTGTTCTAATCGAAAAAGAACTCGCGATTTGATACAAACTGATAATAATCTCATGTCAAATAACACGAAAAAAGTTAAAAAATCGTCTCTGCGCTCCACGATTGAGGCCAAAGAATTAAATAATGAAGAGTCTTCATGTGCTTTAAATGATGAAAAAATGGAATATGCACTGAATAAATCACGATTGAGAAAACGATCGTTAAACGTTACGGAAAATACCAACGTCGTAAGAAAATCTGCTAGAGCAAAGCTTAAAAAAAATAAATCATAAAAATAAAATAAATGTTTTATAAATTACTTTCATTATTGTATATTTAGTAAATTTATACATTATTTATCGCCTTTAATATTTAAAAATAAGTAATATCCAGTTTTATTAACGTACAAAAAGTTAAAAAAAATGAATATGTAAATAGTTTCAAAATTATTGTATTTTTTGATTTATTTCATAGGAATTAATTTAAACACCTAATAATGTAGATGTCTCTTTGCATTAATTTATTTTGTACTTGACTTTATTATATATTAGATATTTAATTACAAGTATATTTTATTTACACTGTTTAGTATTAAATATAAAAGAAAGTAGTCATGTATACTTTATTATATCTTTTAATATACACGTCTACAATTTTACTTTCCTTTTCTCTTGCATAAGATGTAATGATTTAGCACAAATAAGTATATTGGAAAAAATACAAAATTATTTATCAAAGACACCAAATTTTATTGAATATATTACAGTATTTCGATCAGAAAGGGATCAACAATGGTAAAATGATGACAACCACATAAAATTTTACATCCCACCTTTGTATAGATATTAACAATAATATAAGAAGCCTAACTTACTTAACACTAAAATAGCTGTCTTTGATATTGTTTACGCATAAAATATGTGTCTTTGTTATGTATTTTATTTCTCATACACTTTGGTATCATTTATACATATAATCTTATGTACATTTTATGTATATATTTTCTAATATAGTTTCTTTTCTACATAATAGAACTTTAAAAGCTTCTAACATTCTAGTGGAACAACTATCACATTCATGAAACACTTTATTTTTAATTCTTTCGTAAAGATACTGTTATAATTTTATGATGATGATGATTTATTTATTACATTGAATCTTATATGTGTATATGTATTGTTTTTTTCTCCTAAATAAATATAAGCGCAACATTAATAGGAATGAAATTTTCTTTAAGGGTTTTAAATGGGTTGCGCTAATAGTTATATATCCTTCGACATTAAATGTTATTCATATTTGGCAGTGTTTCTTAAACTATTTTTTGCGAAGTCAAAATTTTAATATTTGTGAACTTCGTGTTTTTATAAATTTCATTTTTATAAATATTATATCTAATAACATTCTGCTTAGATATAGTTAATTATTTTATGTTCCATTACATGTAGCTTTATCAACAAACTATTAATATATTCTTTAATTCAGCGAATAAGCTACATTGTAATATATATCATATAACTTTTTTGACTTGCATTTTAAAATTATCATATGTTATATCCTTTTTTATATGTAATTTACTCTGTAATTTCATATACTTTAATATTTCAAAAATAACTTTTTTTTTTTTAGTATTTTCATTGTCTCATTATTTTCTAACAAAGTTATAAGTTAGAGATTCTGGTAATATTGTATACTATACTATTGAGTAGTTTATTGATTTTTGTGATTGATTTTTTGACGGTTACGCATAAAATGTTTGAGAACCACTGCTGTATGGTATGGCATCAGGCGAGGTAGTTACTCAACGTTTACTACACTCCTAAATATACTACAAGCACGTTTCGTTTCCCTGTGTATAGAAATCCATAATACATATTCTTAAAGAACATAACAAATGTACATGTATATACAAGAAGAATATTTCTAAATATACAAGAGATTTATAACTTGATTTTCTTTTACTTAATAACACAATAAAAATTGATTGAAAGAAATTTTAATTTTTTTTTTATTTTTTAGTAAAACTTTTTGTAAACATGTAAATTAATGATAACATAAAGATCGATTTAGGAAATTATATAAAGTTGAAATAATAAATTTATTTTTAAGTATAAATATCTATAAGTTTATTTTTAAGAAAATAAACTTCATGGAGCATAGGATTATGCTGTTTTAAAGTAGGATCAATAGTTTAAGTTCATATCGCTTAATACCATTTAATGTAGAACGATGTCTGATATTATGTTGTTCGATAAATGTTGCTTGATAAATGAAAAAAAGAAACAGCTGCATAGTGTGAAGCGCACACAAAAGCTTTTTCGATTGCTTAAAAATATCAAGTTTTAGAAAGTGAAGTTTTACAATTCACGTATCGTGGGAAGCTTATGCGCTTTTCTGCCGCGTCAAGCAAAAGCGTTTTATTACGTCGTTTGCGTGAGCTACTATCTAGAGCATGGCTCTAAAATTGAAACAGTCCTAAGTAACTTCTATTATACAGGACTTAATTACGATACGATTAACGGTTGTATTCCATACAGTTTCTTTTTATCATTAGTTAATACACACGAATAGTATCGTTTCATCGAGAAACATTAGTTAACAATGTTGTTGCAGCCTAACATTTACACAATAAATGTCACATTTTCTTCCAAATAATATATCGATTTTATTTACATTATACGCGTGTAATATTTATAACATTATATGTACAGGAAATTATTTATTGGGCACATTATTTATTCGAAAGAAAATGTGATATGTTAGTTGCGAGTGTATTTTGTCACTGCAAGCATCTCTCATGTTGCGCTTTGCAAGCACGTGCAGGTATGCGGTCTAATCTGCAACGATATGTTAGAAATGTTTGAGTTGCATCTTGTCGTTTTTAAACTTTGGGAACGTAAGATAAAACTATGTTACAGTTATTTACATGGGTGCGATGGTTCAACCACGCGATGAACAACTTACTTTCTTTATATGTATCGTCATATATTTTTCGTGATGGTTTGATTGACTCTTTGATTACCCAGTTTGATTTGTTTCTTCCCTCTATTACGTTTGAAATGATTGCTTTCATTCAAGTTCCGAGGAATTCTGATCGTTCTTTTACAGATAGTGCACAGAAGCGCGTTTTGTGCACATTAATCGAAGAAATTGTATACACGATTAAAGGAATATTTTACTACTAATTAGAATATTTATCATAGAATCTCTTCTTATTAATATATTTATTGTTTTCTCCAAAAAATTATCACGATGAATCACATTGTAACATTTTCTTAGAATTCAAGAAAATTCTCGTTTAATTACAGCGGACAATCGTCGGATTGTCAAGAAGCAATTATATCGTGTCGACGAATCTGTTAACTTTTAATGGAGTAGGATTCGAAACCGTGCATTTTAATCGCCCCATTGAAATTTTTAACTGACACGTTAAAAAATCCGAATAACAGGACCTTCGAATTTTGATTTTAACCGTTTAACGATATTATATTTAAAGGCTTCTCACCGTTAACGAACTTGTAGTAACGTGTATTTATTTTATCTAAGAGATCGATAAACGTGGCAACGAGAATCTTTCCTTATAAAATTTAAGCCAATTGGCATAATTTCTATATCAGTTAATTTTCAACAAAAGTGTTTTTCCATGACGTTAGAACAACTTTCATTAAAGTTTGAAATATTTTAAATAGTCTCTCTGCGATATTCATACAAGATGTATAAATATATAAAGTTTTTACGATAATACATAGAATTTCTTTTATGGTTTCAAATCCTCTGAAGGACAGAGACGTATTCGTCCAGAGCAAAAGCTTTACAAAAATATTATCCTGCTTGTACAACAGCGATGGCCAATTGTGTATATTCAAACACGGTGTCTAGTTTTTAAAGGATTACGGAAAAATAAAGAGTACTATCATATTTTCGTATTTTTCAAATAAATATCTATATGGCAAACATTTTACTTCTCCTTTACCTTCGCCACATTCTAAAACTCTCAAAGCAGTCTTATTATGTTAAATGAACTCTAAGGATGTTCGTTTCGAAGGATAAACCACACTGGATATCTTGTTATTATTCCGACCTACGTTAACAATGTATCTTCTGAAATATACGCTAATTAGATTGAAGTATCTGATGGGGCGTTACTACGAATGCAATTCGCACTAATCGCGTGGACTGTCTTACGTCTGAAAATGTAGTTTCATCTAAGGTTTCGATTTTCGTGTATTATATTTACAATTTTGTTCACAGTGAAATTTATATATTGCACTCGACCAACGCGCGTCGACTTCATTTACATTTATAAATATTAACGAATGAATTGTCTTTTAATGAGCGAATAACATTCATATTGAAACGAAGTCGGAGGAATTGACCTTTGTCATGATATTTCGTTCGTAAGTTGGATGTTACTTTTGAAAATGAAAAATAAAAGATGTGTCGTGATGGACATAAAAGTTTCTTCTTTTTCTTCTAGCTTTTAAATATCATGTTCTTCGGTTATGCATCTGATTAGCGTCACGTTGAGTTTTCTCGTTTGCTTCGTCTCATCACCGTGATACCAATGGAGCCCCTTATTTTGCGCAACAGATCTATTATATCAGCTGTTGTCATGTGTTCCACGCTTTCGTCATTCACCTGAAGCAGAAGAGCAACTGATGAATAATATATGAACAATAACGTATAATACGTTTTAAGCGAGAATAATAGAATTAATTTGTCGAACGTGCAAAATCTTAGTCACAATAGACTTTTGCAACAATATATATTTTCCAGGAATAACGTCATTTCTTTTGTAATTTTATCACTGTTCTTATTGTTATTGTACGCACTTACTATTTATCTTTTGTTGAATGATACGTTTTTATTACTTTATTTCCAATAAACAAGGAAGATCATAATTTAAAGAAGCAATTATTCATTATGACTATTATTAACACAAAGAACTGTGTTTACACAGTTATATAAATCTAATTTTTAATTTCAGAGCTCTTACGTATACATGATACGTGTACATAATAAACTTTGAAAATTAAATTTACGGAATAATCTTCTTAGACTAAGAAATTGTCACCTCATGGCTCAATTAATTGCCATATTCCATACAGATTGTGAAAAGTAATTTGAATTTAAAGAACAAGTTAGTGGGAAACATCATTTAGACTTTTTCAATTATTCCATGTCTTTTCGTTAGCATATTTATGTTCAGTTAAAAGAAGAAGGTACATATTAAAGTAGAAAATGAAACGCTAATTAGTAGCGATATTACCATCATAAGCACATCTCCTTGTTTTAGTCTACCATCCTTAGCTGCAACGCTGTCAGGGTGCACCACTGATATAACTGTACGGTTTCCTTCCGGTTGCAAGCTGAATCCCAGTCGACTATTCCAACCACGTGTCAGCTCTACCATGAACACCTTTAAGAACGATAATTATCGTTGCGACTAATATACGAATTTTGACTATAAATGTTAAATTTCCTTATAAAAAGAACAAAAAAAAGAAATAGGAATTTAGAAAGAAATAAAAATTAAGCCGTTCCGAATTTATTACTTTCGGTATATTATCTGTTAAAAATAGATTTTTAATATTTCGAAGAATTACAATCTTTTAATTATATACTCTGTTCTACGCATAATAATGATATTTTATTGATAATATTCAAAAAATTATAAATCATTAATTAAGAGTAAATTAAGTTCAAATATTTATTTATAGAACGGGACATTCTGTATATTCATTTAGGGTCTGCTATTTTATCTTGGAAAGAAAAATTCAAGTTGCAAAATTTGAAAAGGAATAATCAAATATTTCAAAAACTATCTTATGTATACGTTATTGAGCTTCAAATTGTGAAATAATGCTTCAAACAAGCTGCGCTAAACAGCTACGATAAACAGAAATCATTTACATCGATAGTGTTACATTTAAGTTTCTTCATGAGCGTTTAAAATACCCAATGCGTTTGAATGCCTAGAAACATACAGATTTTTTTAGTTTAATTTTATCTATACTTGTTTCAAACAAGATATCTCGACACTTAATATTTTTCCCTGAGTTTTTCATTCAATAACAGAGTAACATAATATAACATATTTGACTCGCAAATAAATAGACTCAATATCAATTATGCTTCGCTGCGATTCGTTGAACGAGAACCTTACCTCACTTCCTTGCTCAACATTTTTAATGCGGGCAGCTGCGCTCGTGGGCTTCTCCTCTTTGTTTTCAGTTTTATCTATTCCATCATCTGGAGCGAACATCACGCCTTTCCACTTCAACAAACCCTTGCTGCCGCCGGGATCTTCTGCTCCCAAGATTTTCCCTGCATCGTACATAAAATTAAGTCACAACGCGCGACGTAAAGTTTACATTAAACGATGATTTCGATTTTCGAATCGGTTGCAGTTGTGTAAGTTATCGTTTGATTCAGTTGCATTTGAAATCGAATAATCGCGTTATTTTTACAAAAAGAGCAAAAGCGACCTACGTTAAATTGCTTTTTAAAGTAAGTACCTCGTGTACACGCGCGTGTCCGATGCCGATGACACTGCGCTGTACTTGTTAGCCGCCGAATCGAACTCGGCTAACTGATACATAAGGAAGAGCGACGGTCGAACGAATGACGATGATCTGTCAACGACGCTAAGAGGCGTTCTCTCCGAAAGCCGAGAAACTGAAACGATTCATACTCCACAGCTGATGGAGAAGATGTTCGCTGTTGAGAAGGTCGTACGAGACTGTCTCTCCGATTACTGACAGACTAAACGACTAAATTCTTGCTCTATGACTGGCGCAGATGATATTGGCGATACGAACGTTCGTGATGAACGTTGTATTCGACCGGACGTCCAGTAAGGCGTAAAACGGAAGCCGGAAATATGCACGCTGATTGGTTTCCACCAAACGCAAGAAAAAGGTCAAGCAGCATGCTCGTTCGCTGGGAATTGCACTCCCGTACGTGATCCTGGGCCGGAAGAGGGTGAGCGACACGTGGACGAACGCGAGGGTTCGAATTTAATTAGGTAAAGGTCACGGAAATTCTTCCGGGTGAGCTCCGACCGGCCGGACCCTTACAATTAGCTAAATTACCCTTCGGAAATAACCACCCGACTATTGAGAACACGGTGGACATGAAACATTAAAAGTAAACACTGTTGCAATTGCCGAAGCGAATAGTTGTGTAACATCCCGAAGTGCTAACGTCCCGACTCTAAAATAACTTCCTGTCCGCGAAAGCGAGCGTCATAAAAGCTACGCTGGAATACCCTCACGCCTTTGTCCTTGATCCTTCGATCGTAACGTGGTCTCCGCGTTGGGCGACTTGTCGATGTAAACGATAACGACTGATGCGCTGATAATGAAGTCTTCGGGGAGCTGATACGATGATCCATGACGTTATCTATGCTGGCTCCAATGTCCATTGAACAGTGTCCTCTTGATGTCTGCTACGTCTCGGTGGTCCATTCGTTTGATGTTGCATAGAGCAACAACAAGGACAATGGAGCAAGGAAAAATCGAGTGTGTTTCATTTGGAGGGCTACTTGACCGATACCGATAGATCCTGTGTGAAGCGTGGGATTAACCGTATGCTTTATCTTGCATGGGAAGAAGCGCTAACTGTTTCAAGTTTCTCTTGTAGACGTCGTTGATGACGCGAACCGTGACGGCGTGGGTGATACCGTTTGCTCCACGCTTCCTAATTGCCAGCACAGTGACGCAAGATCGTCTTTTTTAGCACGACAATACTATTCTCACTCCAGGACAGTGTTTCTTTATGGTCCACTTCTGTCGAATGTCCAGATGATGTACGTGCTTCTTGTATATTATATGTCTCGGGTAGAACTGCTTTACCTTCTGCATGTGTTGTCAATGCGATTTGCGATGATTGGCAGGTAAAGCGTGGGAATCTATCTGCGCTAATCTCGTAAGCGAATTGCCGATCGAAAGGTGACCCAGGGTTAATACGACAGGATCGTTAGAATCGGAGGAGAGAGGAGATAATGGATGAGAGTTTAATATCGACTAGATTTCGATCGCGAACGTGCTGAATTTTTCTTACGTGAACGATTCCCGTGAACGAATATCCACGACGCGCTTCCAGTGGTGTTCGACGAACAACTTGACGACGATTTTCTATGTGAAGTGAAGCGATGAAGGTTGCCACGAAGCGGCACGAGATTTCATCGACGATGAAGAATCTCCGAATCTTATCGCCCTTGCGGAATCTCCGATGAAGTTTCGTTTAAGTCGAAGAAAAGGCGTTACGACATATCCCACGACGATTCTTTTGAGCGCGGTGATACGAACGAACGAGGAATTGGCGACACATCTTCTCTCTTTCGTCAACGCTCATACGATGAATTGAGGGAGCAAAGCGAAGGCAACACAAAGTATTCTCGTAGCGCCGGACCGGTCATTAATACGTTACTTGACGACAGACAGCTATTCGAAAACTACTCGAATCTTCGTTATCGAGCTCAAAGGTTTGCAAAGCATGTGACGCGATAGATAGCTCGCGCGTCGATCGCTGGTACTGTGCGTTGCTGAAAAGATGACTAGCGTAGGGAATGCGGGACTGATTGGTTGTTTCGTACAGATTCGACACAATCGTAAAAATAAGCACGTGTATTGGCCGAAAGTGACACATGTACAAACAAAGCAGTACAGACCAGGCCTGACGATAAACAATACAGAACAGTATTCCCCTTGCCCCTACGCCATGTTCTAGCAACGCACAGTACATAGCTGCGTTCAATTTCGGATCGTCATTGAGATTTCGTTCGAGCAAGAGGAATAATCGATGCGGAGCACGTGTTCGCGATTCTGCCAGCTGGTTCCTCTTCTCGTTGAACGATAATGCGACGATGTAACGTTCGGAATTGTCACGTAAACGCGCATCATGGAAGTCTGCCGTGGCAACGACAACACCCGCGTGTATTTTTCGCTTCTTAGCGCGAACGTAGGAATCCACCACGTTTGTCCTCTTGCGTCGTTGCTTGTTGAAGCGCGATTCTTTGAGATACTTGCCCCTACACCTGAATGTGCGTGATCGCGGCGCGAACTGCTTTTTGATCGCGGCTTTCGGATCGAATTGCTGTTTGCGACAGTATGACGCGTTCCTGAATACCTCGTTCAACTTTATCGCAATAAGCCATCACTCGCTTCCAGATTTTTCGCGTTTTCTGGTTCGTCTTGTTGTTCATGGTGATGTTGGCAGCAGGTCGTTCCTTGTGTGTTATCCCTGGGCGTCCCAATAAACGCAACGATCGAACGTGATCGCGGATCGACTTCGATGAGCTGTCGTTAATAACGCGACGTGGCGAAGAACAAGCGCGTGTTGTTATTGTATTTCTTAAGCAACCGCTCTCAGGTTGCTTTAAAATCGTCCTTGTTGATGCCACAGGACTCGACTGCCGATTTCGCCTTACCAGATAGAGACAGACGAAGATAGTTCAACTTCTGAATGTTGTTCGAGTCTCGGTGCGAGTGGATCGCGTTCAAGAACGCGTTATCCAACGTAATCTAGTTGATTTTCGGTCGATTTCCGACAGACACGTCGACGGATGTTTGCATACGCGCCGCTTGCTTTTAAGTTCGTGAACGCGTTGGTCGACGACGACAGTGTTATACAAGCACAGAGACGCTTCCGAACCGAAAAATACGCGCGTTAATTACGAACGAAACGAAGAAGGATGGTCGCCTTGTTCCTCCTTATGTTTTCCTCGATTGTGTCCGGTTGTTTGTGATGTGCCAGACATTCTGCCTCTTCTTAGACGAGGATTCGACTCGAAGAATCGAAAAAGATTTAAGTGCGCGTGTTCCATGTCGATTACACTGCGCTGTACTTGTTGCACGCCCAATTAATCTTGGATTCGCGAGAGAGAGTGGCAGTTGAATGAACGATGAACTGTCAACGACACCAAGGGCTGTTCTTCTCCGAACGATAAGAGGATTTCGAATCGTCTCCGACCGCTGAGACAAGAATCACGAAGGATCGTTACGAATGGTCACAACGATACTTGACTCTACGATTACTAAGAATCGAACTCGATTTGAAAATAGGAAGCTCGGCCAAGACTGTCAACGAGTCGAAAACTCAGACGAGACTGTTCTCTCCGAATGCTGAGAGGATCGAAACGATTCTAAACTTCTCCCACGACTCGTGAGAACGATGTCGATTAATTCGAAATTTCGTGACTGCGTTTGGCTCGACCGGACGTCCAGCAAGGCCGAAAACGGAAGCTTGGAAAATATGCATTCTGACTGGTTTTCCCCAAATGCGAGAAAATGGACGAGAATACGGACGCGAGTGGCACTCACTGCATTTCCGTGCGTGATTAGGTAGGGGTTGCGAAAATTCTTTCAGATGAGCTTCGACCGGTCGGCACGTTACAATTAGCTAAATTACCCTTCGGAAACAACCGTGCTTGCGACACACTCGGTTATTGGGAACACAATGCACATGGGAAATTAAAAGTGCTGTTACAATTATCGAGAAGAATCGTTCAAAATGCTCACGTAAAATAGCTTCTTGATTAAACCGAGCGTCGTACAATTATTCACGAAAATCTGCACATGTTTCTTTTTTGCAGAGGAAACACCTTGTTAATAGTAAAAAGTAAGAAGAAATATGTAGAGACTTTTTCACGAAAATTGCGTTTATATATGTGTATATATATAAATCACTTAATTAATGAATTGTTAGTTAAATTTCAATGTGAATGAAATGTAATATAATTACTATTGACACAGTAGACTGACCTATATTCCTTCGTTGAAAATTAAATTATTCGTGTGTGTGATCTTTCATGTCGCACTTTCACGTCGCAAATTTTTCGCACAACAATCAACCTATATATCGATTATTCGTATATATAAATAAAAAGAAAAATGCCAGACAATGGAATAACGAATGATTTAACTGGTCACGATCTGGAATAAAGGTATTGAACAATTATTGAGTGAACTGATCGCGTGCAAGTGACTGAACTGATTGTGAATGTTGTATACGAAATCAAGGTAACACGATATAGTTGTAAGAAGATATTGCACGTTCGTACTATACTGGAAGATAAGATAATAAACTCGTTGCCGCAATTCCTTGTAATCCGCTTAAAAGTTGATACTTCTCGTTTAAGTTGTGATTTGTATTTTTTAATTGGACGTTCTGTTGAAATAGTCCGTTCGATGATTTTCATATTAAATTTATTCTCATTGTTAATTATTTGATATCGAGTAATTACAGTGAAATAAATTACACCGAAATGAATAATTAGATACATATATATCGAAATAAAATTAACGACCGATGAGCATTAAGATATCTATATGGGAATTTAAATTACTCAGGCGGAGAACTCGATAATTATTTACAAAGTGGACGATCTCATCGATTTCAATGACCTTGAAATATGTTGATAAAATCAACATTCTGAATAATTTCTCTCTGTTCGTGCTACTCGGCTTTGGATATTTTTTTTCCGAGATAGTCGTAAAAAGCTTCGGTTTGATGTACGTTACGATTACGCTTCATTGTAGCACAGAAGAAATCATCTCGTGGTATTCGTACTTTCATACGAGCCAACCTAGTTCATCTTCGATAATCATTTTCAACTCACGTAAGAAAAAACAATCAATGGTTTCGATTTGGATTAGATAATCATTCGGTCGATCGCGTCGAGAGACGCCTGATAACGCTATTGTGTAATAAGCTCAGATATAAAATAATAAGACAGATTCAATTCACATCAAGCTCTGTATTATGTGTATTATCGTCATTTGAAATTAGGAACATCGTAGCCGTGATATTTGATTTTTAGAACCGTGACATCGTCGTCGAAACAGAATCTTTCGCTTATGTATGTCTCGGGAACTATAAAGCGACCGTAACATGTCTAGAGAAAAGTTGTTCAGAACATTGACCTTGTCTATATGTTTCAGCATCATTGAAATTGGTAAGTTCGTTCGCTTTACAAGTAATCACGGAGAATTTTCTTAATCTGTGTTCAAAGGTTAATTTGTTACTGTAAGCGTTCATCGTGAAAAAAATCTTTTCTTTGATAATATCGAAGTGTGTTTCAAGAATTGTTTCAATGCTTTATTTCCACCTTCTTATCTCGAAGAAAGAAAGAAACTGGAAGCGGTAAACAAGATATATCTAATGAAAGAATTTATCTTTTATCAATTTAGTTTCATCAATTTAATTTGAGCTTCAACTATTTTTAAATGAAATCGACCCGGAATCCTTTGAATCAATATGAAGGACTGAGTATTGCAATCGAATCAATTGTTCTCCTAATCCTTTTAACAGGAACATTCGATAAATCCCCTTTAATCAACAAAGCCACACCGATTCTATCCTCCCATTGTATCAATGAACAAACGAACTTAACTAGTAGAAAATACTATCAAAGCTAGTCTTTGCATGAACAAAAGTGGAGTTTCAAGCGCATATTCAAATAGATAAATAGAAAGGAGGCTAATTCGTTGATCCTCGTTATTTTATGGTGTATAGTATTCTTGACTAATTATAAGACTCTTTTTTTACTCTTTTTTTTTGAATCTGCTAAATATTATTGAATATTTCATATTATGCGTAATCTGCAAATTTTTGCGCTTATAAATTTTTCATAAATACCGTATTTACGCTTTACTAAGGATAATGCTACAAACATTATTTATAAAAATTTGCCTTGAAATTTACATCACTTTGCTTGATCAAACTACGCTATTAAAATCGAGATGACTGGAACTGCTGTGTGAATTTACTATTTAATAATATCTTTCAATGATAATTTTCCCATATTTTTTCTCCATATGGAAATATATTGATAGACTCACTTTCTTAATTTCATTAGTTTTCGTTATTGACTGGATGTCACATTTACAAATTGTGTCATAAAGGGTCCACCTTCTTTTACACACATATAAAGAATTTCATTGATTCTTATGAAAATATCGGTCGAATTACGTGAAATATAGACTCACCTATCACGCAGTTATAAAGAATTTCATTAACATTAGAACCAACGACCTTTATTTTACCTAAATACGATATACGTACATAAATAACTAGAATTAAGGCGATATGACGAAAATAAATAAGCACATATATGTAATTAGTTTTTGTTTTAATAAAACTGAACATCAATATTTTTCCTATACATTTTTAGTAATCGGAAAAATAACAAATTTGTTGCCATTCTGTTATGTTCACTGTTTCGGTAGTTCTAGTGTTAATTTCCTAATTCCTAATAAGAAGTTAAACATTTTTTCCAAGCGCGAACCTATCGCAAACCTACCAAGAAGGTAAATCTACCGAGCAATCAAAAGCAAATTCTTAACATTCGCACACCAATTCCAGTCACCTCGTTTAGAAAAATTCCCGTCTCATGAGAAAATTTAGGAACCTGGTATATCCTGATCACTGGAGTGTGTAGCCTTGTTTTTCGCCACGGTGTCAATGCCGGCGCCACAGGCAGGATTGGCGCTCTGATAAGCCGGGTTTTTGTAGCTAAATGCTGCTGCGCTCGAACTGCTCGTCGAGGAGAGCAACGGTGGCATCGAAGCTGGCTCCGAGGGCAAATCGCTGTCGTGTTCGTTGCTGGACAATACGTTCGGTTCGAGACGCTCGTAATCGGTCTCGGTTGCCTTGTTTCCAAGTTCATCCTCCACGATGATCGCTTCCACGCCGCCAGGATAATCGAGATCCGAGTCCAAGTTGCAAAACTGAAAATGTGGCTTCCCTTGAGGCGCGGACAGATCGAGGAAACTCGGACGCGCCGGTGTCTTGGAGGAATCGCTGGAATCGCAAACGTCGTACAACGGTGGCGGATCGATTATGTCAGTTCCAGGTGTGTTTGGCTGGGAATTCGTTATCTGCGTCCTGATCGAGCACTGGTCGGAATCGGATGTCTCTGCCTGGCTGGCCGTCGATGTCGTGTACACGCTCGGATGCTTCTCCAGAGTTTCTGCAAGGATGGATATCATCTCCCTTAGACCATGCTTTTTCAGTTATTGGATGGAGCTGCCCGATGGATCGAGCTTTTTCCCTTTTTTTTTTTATGTTGATGAGCACTTTCGCTCTACGCGTTCTTTCCTATTCCGCACATAGGGCGTATTGACTTTCTTCTTTTTATTCGATACGGTACGAACTTTGATATGATTTTTAGCGAAGAAAGGTTTGGCGAATGATCGAGATGTTTCAGATGGATTCCAGTTTCAATCAGAGAAATATCGATTGCATCTATATAACGGTTACTTTAATCCCCCGATGTTAAATGACGTTTCTGGTACACCGTGTCAAAATCTTCAATAACGTGTTAGAAGCATTCGATGCTGAAGAATTAATTATTCCATATTAGAAAAATATTTGTATTTTACAACGACATAAATTGTTTCTTTTTCGATCATTTCGAATATAGAAAATGTAACAGTTATTTACAAATAACAAAGTTATTTATTTTACACGTTTATACGTATACATTTATTTTTCTCCTAATTTAATCGTATTTCAAGAAATGAAATCCATCTGTATTATCGTCTTTGAGTACCTAATATACACATATAAATAAAAAAAATTGCCCTGAAATTTTATTTTCTTCTTTTTTCATACGAATTCAAATCTTAAGTAGCTCCATAATTGGAATTCTGTAATTTTTTCCTCTGTCTATGATTTGTCGTTCATTTAGAACATAGAAATTCATGTTCGGATCAGTGTATTCAATTGTCAGTTTATTTAACTCTTCAGGACTATCATGGCTGAAATTTTACACTATGCAAATTTTGTTCTAACATTATGATCATAGTAATACCATCTCAATGTTATTTATGACGTCTGAAAAAAATAACTTCCCTGTATTTCATTTAACATTGAACATAATGATAATAAAAGTTACATTTATTTGACCTTATTGATTTTCAAAATACAGAAACGTATCAAGACGAAATCTCACGATCAATTGAGCGATTTTCTTTAACGATAGTTTTTAAAACGTTAATCGGACATTAATTTCGTTCCAATAGATACGGTTCAATCAAATAAATGCAGTTATGCGAGAAAACGATATACCTTGATCATTATCGGCAGTAGGCGTACGCGTGGCAAGACGACGAAGTCTTCTTGGAGAGTTGCAAGATGCTCCAGATGATTGCTTGCAGCTCGACCCACTTGATGTACCTGGTGATAACTTCCGAACTGCTAGATCACACAGCATGTCTACGGCTTCCTGTCTGCAAGTTACAAAATATAATCAGACCACAAAGTAACGTTAACGTGTAGAGAAAGTTTGAAACGCTATCAGAGTAATATGGTTAGACAATCATTTATTTTTAAGGAAATAATCTTCGTAACAGTTTCTTTCTCACATATACGTATAATATTACAAAAAATATGATAGGGAAGTACGGACATTTATGTCTGCTGATACCGAGTTCTGAGAAATATTCGACGAGATTGGGAAGAAAACGATTCATTGTGAACTTTTGAAAAGCAACACAATTCTAAAATTTGATGCGTATAATCTTTAGCTGAACGTAATCTCAAATACAGCTATTTTTTATTCTGATTTTTAACAGATCGTTTTAGGAATTGAGCTTAATGGAAACCTGGAGAAATTATTCAGTGGAATTACGAGATATATGACGAACAGTCATTGAAAGGAACGTCGTACATCGTACATCATTCAATAAAATACTAATCTTATGAAAATACGTTGCCTTTCAGTTTTTCTTACATTTCGTGTTTTAAACTTCCATCTTCTGAAGTAAGTAATATAATAATTTTTATACAAATATGTTGGGAATATCAATGTCGTGAAATATATATTTACGTGTCTTTTAAATAATTTAATCAATTGAATAGTAAGTAAAAAAGTTCTACTAATTCACTGATCGATTTCTATTAATTTCTACTTCGTTTAATATGTAAAATATACTGTTTTATGTCGTACTTGCCAACACAGATACGTTACTGGTTATGATAATATGAGAATGTTGCCAAATTATGAACAGCTTTTGAATCTAACTCGTTAACTTTTAACTATAGACCACTCGTATCTGAGAGTAGTGTGTGAATTTTCACTTTACTACTACAATCTAGTGGATAGATTTTGGAACTGCAGTATTTGAGTACTTTAAATTATAAAAAACTTTAATCAAAGAAATGAAAGTATTCGACAAACTAGATATATATTAAAATAATTTACAAACTATATGACAGATACCATACACATACGCATTTATAATTGTATTTGTGATAATGTAGTGATTTAAGTAATAATCGCAGAAGGCTGAAAGAATTTTTGCCGAACACACCGATGACGGATACAAAAACAGAAAAATAGAAAAAAAAATAATATTTAATATCTTGGGAAGCAAGGAATATGTCTTTACAAATAGATTTATGAGGAAAGAATAGCCTGATAAATAATCTCAAATTTCCAAGGCAAATTTCCAAAAAAGTTTTTAGAATTCTCACTTTTCTCTACAATTTAATTAACGTACTTGCCCAACATAGCAACTCAGCCATTCATATATCACGCAGTAAAACAAAAGAGATATTAAATCATCGCGTTAAATCAGCGGTAATAATTGGCGCGATTTAAAACTTTCAATTAGAAGGCGAGAGAAAGAGCGAGGGTATCGAGGGACGAATTAGCGGGAATTTATTTTTCCATTGAATCTAGAAAGAAGAATGGAGGTGTGCCTAATTACGGCAGAGAAGTTTACCTCAAACTGGTTCGCGGTGGACGGAGTGGATGATCAGGTTCGGTCGGAGAAAGCGCGGAGACAGGAGTTTGCGCGAGATCTCTGTACAATCGAAGTCTCACGGTCGGGCCACATTGTCGCAGCAATTGAACGGCCTCTTCGTGGCTCATGGGAGACAACGGTGCACCGTCCACGGCGACTATTTTGTCTCCGGGTCGAATTCTGCCGTCGCTTAACGCCGGCTCCCGCACTAATGCCCTCACGTAATGACCCAGAGCGCTGCTGTCTGCCTTCCTCAGAGTGAAACCCAGACTTCCACCGACCTTTGTCATTTCTATGTCGAATTCCTGCCGGAGAGATTGCGAAAGAGAGTTTAGACCACTTAATCTCCATGACGCATTATCCAGGGTTACCGCTTCCTTTCGCGTAAATGAAAGTCGTGAGTATGGAAATTTGGGAACGTGGGTATCGTTCGTATGAAAGCTAGAGGATGTTTGAACGTTTTCAGAGGACCGTTATTTGTCGTAGATTGCATGGAACTGAGAGGTTCGTAGAATTTATGGGTTTAACATTTCCTTTTACCTCGTCAGGGCCTCGCGAGATGCGTTAAATCTTTTGAGAGTACGTTTATATGACTAGAAAAATTTGATACCGTGACGATGAAATGCGTAGAATTTGATAAAAAGAAAGCTTCGTTTGAAAATAAGGATATTGATATGTAACGTGTATGGACGTGTAAAATTCAGTAAAATAGAAATTGCAGAATTACTAAATCAAATAAATGTCGTAATATATAAGGTCATTTGCAAATTAATGGTATCTGTACATATCGGACATATGTATATGTATATAATCAATTTTTAATTTTCTCTAGGTCTATATAAACATTTTTAATAAATAGGCAAACTAACTTTTAGTTATTTGAAATAAACTTGGATGTAATAAAAGTGTTTTAAAGTTTCTCTTTTTATCAAATTCAGAGAGCAATGAAAAAGCTATGAATAAATTGCTTTACAGTCTGATTTTTATACGCTTCGTATCCGTTAATATGTTCAACGTACAAACACGATGGGTTTGTTATAGATGCATTCGAAACCGTGTATACTAGGGGAAATACCGAAATCTAAATTGTAAACGAACTTCGATCAAATTTCGTATTCCTCTTGGGATTTCCTACATGTAACAGTAACAGACAGCATATTCATTGAACATATTGTCCGATAGAGCCAACGGATTAAAAATGTATTTTCAATTTACCAGTTATAGCCGATATTGTGTGAGCAATGGTCATAAAGGAGCATGTACATAGTTTAGAATTAACCTATTGTTTCTAATTTCAACGAATCGAAACTACCATAATAAGATAACTTCGAGCAACTTGAAAATTTTACTTTGGTAGTAAAAAACAAAAAAAAAAAAAAACAAAAGAAAGAAATTATTTTGCTAGTTGAAGTGAATTTAAAAATGATCATCATCGTCCTCGTTAATGCCAATAATGGTAGTATCTCGACATTGATATCGTATTTCACTTTCGATCTTCCGATTAGCGGTCAAAGGGGTGGAAAATCGAGGAATTCAGTGATTCAGTGATGCAGGAAATTCGGCTATCTAGCGGATCGCAACAAGGAAGGATTCTTGATAAGAGTTACTTACGCCGCAGGGTTCGATTTGAAGAGGTGGCAGGGGGTTGAGTATTCGCAATGGTGGTGGTGGCTCGCGCCTTGCCGGGGGTGGCGGCGGTGCACCCGGTGGTGTGACACTCGTATCACCCGGAAGTCGACACACCACCAACTCGACGGTATTGGGTGTCGTTCGTAGAACTTCGAGGGCCTCCTGCAACAAGTTGCATCGAGAGGAGATTAAAAATTTGATCGAAACTGATATGTACCAGTCTGTAACACGAACGATTCAAAGAATAGCATTTGTGTGTTTAATTATTTAGTATCAGTTCAAGTATCAGTAAACTGAGTTTTATGAGAATTCTTTTCATTACAACAATTATAATTTCATGCCTCGTAACTGTTTTAGAACAAATGTTTGTATATAAAATACTTGTTCGTAAAATGTTCTTGAAACCGTATCCCGAACATTTAGTTTCCTTTATGCAATTTCGAACGATTTCTAAAAAAAAATTTCTAAATTAGACAATTTCTAAAGAAAAACAGGAAAAGCAAGAAAACCGTATGAAACCATATGCTAAACATTTAACATTTAGTTTCCTTTTTGCAATTTCAAACGAAGAAATTTCTAAAAAAAAAGGAACAAAAAAAGCGTATGAAAGTAAACAAAAAGTGAAAAGTTCAAAATCTTTCTAAAAATTGTACAAGCTCATAAACATCGAGTTATAATACGACACAGTTTCTATATCGTGTTCTTCATCGCGCAAGGTTCAAATCGTTTACACTTTACGCTATTCAATTTGCAACGTAGTTACTGAACTTATACATAAAATTCGCAGATTAACGATTAATGCGTTATCTCATAAGAGAAGGTAGAAGGAGCAGCGTACAATATAAACTAATATTACACCTTGATTCTCGAGGGACAAACGGGCAACTGCACGCAAGATAGCGTCGATCTTTGCTCCGAGTTCCGGATGTAGCTACATTATGCTAATCAAATGCAAATCTCTAAGAGCTACGAGAAGACAAGCCCGTAGCTTCCATCTAAAGCTGTAGTAATCGCTATTTTGTCGCAGCCAGCTCATCGAGTTAAGCGTGATGGACCAAGACTAAGGAAAAAGGTTTGCGGTCACGGACGAAAGTTACTCCCGTGTATAAACGAACCAGAATCCTGTAACATTGAATCGTTTAGGTTCGAATAATTTGATATTATTTATTTAAAAAACTATTTGCAAGAAGTAATATTACTTAGAAGAACTATTAAGCGATATTTCACAAGAAATTTTAAACGTCATGTCTCTTTTCTTATTTTCCTTTATTTTATTATTTTCGTAATTTTTAATTTTCCAATTATATTTTATAAGATTATGCGTTATTTTCAATCGTGCAGAATATTCCTATACTATTTGTTTTCTAACACAACAGCAGATATTTCTGATCACCGACTAGTTGTAAGTGTACGAGAATTTATATTCTATTTGATTGTTATTAATTTTCAAGAAAACTTTTACAATTTTTGGGTGATTTTCAAATATTTGTATTATATCGATTATTATATACATTTAACTATTGCGTTATGTATTTTACCCTGCTTCTTCGAATACGCTGGTCGTACTGAATCTTTTACATTTCACATTGAATTTTATGTTATTATTAAAAAAAAAAAAAAATACGAACTTATTGGTATTTATTAAAATCGTTTTTATTACTAAATATTGTTAATATTTTATTAGCTATTCCATATCATCGTTATTACTAAAATTACATTATTAAAAATATCGAATATTATTGAAAATACCAAAAGTTTATAGAATAATAAATATTTTACGCTTACATAGTTAGTGAGGCCGGTTAAAGGAATTCCATTGGCAGCCAGAAGTATATCGCCAGGTTGAAGTTTGTTGGATAAGGCTGCCGGTTGTTGAGGAAATAGTCTTTTTACCCTAACAGGGCCGGCAGTCCCACCACCGGAAACGCTCAAGCCAAGTCCTCTGCTGCTTTTCTGCAACGTCACTCGGAACGTACTCTCTGAAAATCATACAAAATGCCCTCAATTTTAAAGCAACTACTTTAAAAGCGAAGTTTTCTCCCTTTTAAGCTTCTGAAGAGAAAGTCCATTTCGTACTACCTGGGAGATAACGAAGTTATAATTGCTGTTTCTCTAACTACCGATTTCAAGGAATTTATAATATGAGAGTTAGCGCATTACAAACGAATATGCTTTTCTCTAATTAGTGAATCATTGATTTCTTTCAAAGAGAATCGTGTACTTCATCGGAGAACAAATTAAAAACGAAGTATTTTGTGGTTTGTTCACCGCGTCTAATTAGATGTTTTACGAAACAAAAGTCTCAGAAACGTCGTTTCGAATATACGATGTAAATTTTGATAAGTGCGATGATTCATTTTGTGTAATAAATATGCACGTTACGTATCGTATAGGGTAAAATTATTTCTACAACTGCGATTCCACTTGATTCTAAATTTTCTAATTGAAATCGAAAGGCAAATTTTCAAATTCGACTATCAAAAATTCTTGCTTCAGGTTATCGCAATTTCGTTTCACGAGCTAATGTTCGATATGTAACAAAATATTCATGAAGTATAATTATGAAATAATATTTTAATAATCTAAGTTCTCTCGTATAATGTTTCCACTTAAGAATTTTTTTTAACATACTAATCTAGTAAAAAATGTTTGATATCGATTACTACCTTCATTACTAGTCATTCTAGGACGTAGGCTGGGCGTGTGTTTTTCTTTAAAATCAATTTCACCTCTGACAAATACACCAGAAGCTTCGATCGAGCGGTTTGTTTCGCACTATTTCGACCAGTTTATTTCCATCGAATGGGTACAAAGAGAGCGCAAAAAAAGCGAATGGATCGTTCGTTTACACTGCAAAGACAGAGCACGCCGTCCGTAAATATTTATACCACGAAGAAAGAAGGAGCACACGGTTCTTTTTTACCAGAATGCGCACCATTCCCGAAATTGTAGTCGGCTTGTAATTTACGATGCCTCGCTACTCTGACGCATGACCTAATATTTGGAATTGGGCTAGGACCCGAACAATTACTTTCTACCCCTTCTGTTATATGTAGTGTCACTGCATCAGCTGCATATTTCAGTTGTTACAGTAATTTTCACGGGGTGTAACGTCATCCTGTTGGTCATAATTTCAAGCGATTCAGCGGTTTACGAGAAAAGCGTGTTTACGAGATGCGTGTAAATGCGCAAACAGAAACCTTGACAATTCGAAACATCGCTTGAATTTTTTGACAATTTACAGAGACACGCTGATTTTCTACGATGTATTTATCGTTGCTATTTTAGTTCTCATAATTGTAAATATCATACTTGGATATGCGGATGAAGCAGAATTTCAAATTTAGAATGAAAAGCGCTAATGCGATGTTGTAACAAATGCAAAGTTTATAATCTTTGGAGGAGGATCGACGATTTAAAAAATTTAAGGAATTTTGGGATTTAGCGAAAAAGAAAATGTTTAAACGTGTAAACACTTGCAAATATTTCCGTGAATGTTGTTTTTGAACTTGTATGTGTACGCGTGTGACGTCTGAAGAATATCGAGAAAGTTTTAAAAAACGCTGTTTATCTTCCAAATGCCGTGATTTTTCGACGTGTTTCAGTATCTTTAATTTAACGTTTAATTTGGATATACTTTTAAACAATTATAGTTAAAATTACACGACGAAAACAGAAATACGTATAATTGTACGATAATATTCTAATTTCAATCAAAATCAACGTCAATTTTGCCAAAAGATATCTACATATATTTCCAGCACATAATCATAAAAAGAGGGACATCGAAATCTATCATTTTGACGTTCTTGATAACTCCAGCATTTTGATGTTTTAATATTTTTATTATAGATCTTCCGAACATATTGAAGCTACAATTTATTTGAAATTTCTTCTTCTTGCATGTAGATGACAGGTGATGACAGAACAAAATTCAATGGACCGTATTGGCCAGTCAAATTTTTGTATTTTGGGAAAACATTTCACGTCCATCAGCTTAATGTTTCTCCCAAACAATTAGGCTCCATTCATTTCTATAATTACATTCTCATAAACGTCCATTAATCTTTCTAAAAGGCGAACTAAAACCAAACCTCGTTGAAATTGTCCACAGTTTCTCTGTGATCTCTGTACCAACTTTTTTTGCCTCCTCGCCCGCCTTCTCTTTTTGTCATGCGGTCGTGGACTTAGTATGGACGAGCACTAGTTCGAAATGACTCGCCTTTTACCGGATATTGACCCGATCCGGGCGACATATCGCGCGTATTGTTCACTTTGTTCGCCATTCAGATCGACTCCTCTCAACGGGTAATTTACGTTTGTCACGTTATTGTCCGGGATCGCGCAGTGTCGATCTGTCCAAAAGTGCTGGCCATTGTTGGGATCGTTTCGAAATCGTGGATATCCTGAACGAGTTGGCTGATCATCCTCTAAACGTTCCGGCAAGTTTAAGAATCGATATCCGAACGATTTACGGCTGCCATGTGTCATTATCAGCGGTTAACTGGACCGGAGTGAGCGAAAATTCGAATACGAGACATTTCGAACATTCGATCGCGTTCCGAGAAGATGGTAAAATTAGAATGTCGAATTTTCTAGCTTGTAGGATTTTAAATATGTAATGTAGAAACTATTAATCTAGAATTATTGTAATTATCGTTAATTATTAAGGTATATAATTATTAGGCATATAAATGTCGTTTCCTTTCAAATGAAGCTTTAACAGTATATCATTTCTTCCAAATATTATATTTCGTTAAAGTAATCTTCGCATGATTCAGCGTATCTCTTTAACGATTAATTAATTTCGTTAATCCAGATTTATTACTAATTATATTATTAGTTATTTAATTAATTTAGTATTTAATTAAATTATACATTGAAAGTTCTAAGCCATAAGCCAATTTACAATACAATACAATACGTCGTACATCTCTTGCGGTATATTTAGTCAGTCAATTGTCAAGATTGTGAAAATATGTAAAAACATCAAAAAGTACATAAACATAAATCGTATTTGCTGGTAGATCGTGTTCTAGTATTATTTCCTCTTTCACGAGAGATTTTAATTGAACGTTACAATTGCTAAAATTTTCCAAACGAATCAATCCTATCTAAAATCTATAAAACTATAATCTCGATAAAACTTTAAGCAACCTCTTAACGATAATTTTCTGATAGTAATTGTATTTGATAATGTTTATGCGATTGTAAACAGTCAATGAAGCAGAAAAAGAATTAAAAATTCGCAAGTTGCAACGACAACTTCGTGAAAGTAAAAGGTGAGCGGAGATTTTGGAATTTGATTGCTTTCGTTCTTTTATGAATAATACATTAAAACAACTGTCACAGACTGCAGTAAGAAATACAATTTCAATAATGGTACATGGTTGTTCGTAAATTTAACAAATTTGCCGGAATATACTCGAGCAGGAAATCCTTGAGCGTGAAGAATCTGCACGTAATATCAAATTGCGTTTTATTCCGCTGAATTATCTCATTTTAATACCGCGGATTTTCGTAGTTTCAGAATTTCGAGCGAAATGTTCGTTTTATCGTTGGTTAGATTGTTTGGAAGTAATAGAGTGGATGGTTTTGTCGGCGTTTGATAAACGCCTCGTAAAATTTAAGCGTGGTATTCCGCACGGTGCAGTGTTATTGCTGCTAATATCGTTGCTGATGCATCCCCACGCTCAAAAATAAACTTACTTACGTGATGACATAGCGTGTGCTATATAATTATTATCACTTACGAAATATGTAAATTATGTGGCATTAGTTTGTCATTAATAAAATTACCGGAAACTTGATCAAATTCTGCTTAGAATAGATCCTTGTGATAGACAGCGAACTTTGTAAATAAAAAAATAAAGCGTAGAAATGAGGTGATAATGAGAAAATATTTGTTCTGGAAATTTATTCTTTGGCTGTCTGGAAATTAAACATTTTTATGAATTAATAATTTTATTCGACACAACTAGTAGCATATTTTTTATGAAATATAAATATTTCTACGATAAAACAAATATTTTGTGTAATATATAGTTTCTGTATATTGCAATTAGCTTGTGACAAATTCTAATCTAACTTAGTTTCTGTAAAATTGCAAAGAATATGTCTGTAATAGGAACTTTTAAATAATCGTAACACTTTTGCAAATTGATAATTGACGTACGTTTCTATAATATGAATAAAATAGTATGATGTATAATATACTATGTGATAATGAACTCTAGTGTGCTCTACATAATTGTACTATTTCAGACACCGACTTTTATTATAAAAAGCATATCGATCACTATTTTAGAATTGTTACATTACAAATATTTCTCTACTATTTGTTATAAATACTTCTGTTTGCTAGTTTTAAGAAAAATATAATTTGAAATAACAATTTTTTTTTCTTTTTTTGGTTACTATTCAACGTTGTGAGGAATATTAATGCTTCACACTTTAGCAAAATTTGTCTCAGAATGAAAAACTTCTAATGTTCGTTCATGTTTAAAAGGACACTGTGTAATATTAATGGAATGAAAACGAATGAAGAGACGCATGAGCCGAGTTCAAGAAGATTAATGTTCTTTTTTCTCATCACTTTTGAATTTATTATTCTTGGTAACCTGACTTAATAATTCTTAATGAATTTTCTGTTGGAGAATTCCCTAAACTTTGTTGGGACAACCGAAATTTTCGAAAGAAATAGTTTGGATACTTTTAATTAGTTTAATCTTTTCGTTTCGTTATAATAGTACGAGTGGACAATAACATGATTTATGTTATTATTAGGCAATCTTTGTGGTGATGAAAATATCGTTCAAAGATAGTCTAATTTGCAAAAATTATCTTTAGTAAACTAATTATGAATTCTGAAAAGCTATGATTTATTCTGATACTTAAAAATTTACTAGGAACTTTTACTATATCATACGATTATAGTTTTCGTAGATCTAACAATTTTGCAATGAAACTTTCTATTTTA